GTGGGCAAGCAGCCGGCCATCAATGGCCCAGGTCTCTATGGTGCGGGGCAACGGCTCAGGAGAAAGGCCCAATTGCTCCACTAAAAACGGGTCCATGAGGTTACCTCCAGCTCCAGAATCGACGAGTGCTTGGTGGGAGGTCATCTGTCTCTAGGAGCACGGGGAGAATGCAGCTGGTACCCAGTGTGGTGGAGGTGGAGGGTCGGCCCGTCAGTGTCCCCACTGTCACTGGCGGGCCCGCTCTTTTGGCCCAGGTGAGTGCTTTTCCTCACAGACGATTAATGACGTAGTTTATCTTCTCCATGCGAAATGTTCAAAGCTGTTAATTGAACACCCGGCAGCACTGCAGCAAAAACCCCCGGCATTTATCAATGTTACCATCGAATGTCTCTGGCTCGGGTATCGGAGGATCCTGGCAGGGGCTAGGAGAACGTGTGGCAGCGTTAGCAGACGGTGTAGGATAAACTGGGAATAGCCACTGAGTAGTCTGAGTCCAGGACAGCCGTAAGCCTAGCCACCTGTTGTGTAAGGGTGGCTACAGCGTCCTGTTGCTGCTGCAGTGCTTGACCCATTCTCTCCAGCTGCGTGCTGAAATAGGTGTAAGCTGGAGAGCCACCTGCACCGGAGTCAGCAGGGTCCATGTTGGCCAGTTTGTTCTGTTAGAATCGCACACCCACGGGAAGGTGAGTGTGTGAAGAAAAATGGACCCAAAGGGCTGACTTCGGTGCAAGAATATTTATTAAGTGCTGTACAACTATTTACAATGGCGGTGAGGATTAAGCATACGATAAGACAGACTGTTGAACAGGGTGTTGATCAGTATGGAGATAGTCACTGTGGAGAAGATGGGGCCGAGCTGTGGAACAGAGGGGTCACTCACTGGCTGGCCGATGGAAGTGGAATAGGCTGAGGAGACAGTAGATGACAGTGGTGAGTGGTGGTAGCCTATAGGACTGTGCACCGACCTGGCTGGTGGAGGCTGGAAGGGTGGTGAGATGTATGGTCCGGAGACAGCTGCCCGTGGCTGTGATGGTGAGGAGGAGTAGGTAGAGAATAGCTAGGTTCTGACGGGGTAAACAAGTAATAATCCAACAAAGACAAACTAGTGGCACGAAGGAAACACAAAGAGACGAGAAAAAGATAGCGCTGGTTGTCGGCATAAGAGAGGTGACAAACTGGCAAGGGAGTAATAAGTGAGCCGGGTATAAGTAAGGTGAAGGACTAAGTGAATGCAGCTGGTGTTAATAAAGTAATGTGTGGTAGGTGTGCAATGTGGCGTAATCAGGAACCGAAATACAAAGAGAGGGAGGTGAAAGAGGCAGGTGCAGCCGGGCAAACCTGACAACATCAAAGATATGCATAGTGACCTCCACAGCAACTCACAGCACATACACATACTTCTAATATGCACAGGGCCCTTAAAGAACTACATGTATTTATCTGATTTTCTATGATTGTGTTTTCTCCACCTCCCTTGCCCTTCTGTATTCAGGAGGACAGTTTGGGTGAACTGTTTCTTCACTATCACTGCAGGTCCTTATTTCAAGCATGTTTTAAAATGACAGATGGTATTCTTAAATGAAGCCAGCCATGAGCAAAGGGGAAATTAACTGCTGCTGTGTCATCAATCTGTGACAAGCTGAAAAGTGATTTCACTTCAAGGAAAATTAATATGGATTTAGAACAAAACAGAAAAGCCTGCTTTGTAGCTCTCAGTGGGTAGCTCCATCTCTCAGTGATCACCATCTCTGTCACTGTAGAAGTACAGAAGCTTAATGAATTAGCTGTCAAAATGGAGGAAGACAGTCTTTTTCCTTTCATTATATTAAACAGAGCCTGACAGAGAATAGAACTAACACAGACACATTAGAATACTTTTTGTCTAAATAATGTCCACGATCAAATATACTGTATCTATGAAATGTCTCATCCCCAGTATTCATATACTTTGAGGTAATGTCTTCAGATGTGTTGTCCAAAAACCCAGAGATCTTCAGTTTACACTGTTATGATCAGATCCTCACATTTGAGAAGCTGCAGCCATAGAACAGCTGACGTACTGGTTGAAAAATGACAATGGAATAAGTTTATCAAGATAGGTGCAAATTCATTTTTATCAGTTGGTCATACAATTAATTTAATCATTGTTTCAGCCCTGCTTTGAGGTGCATGAATAAAAACATTTTATCACTTTAATTTGGTCAAAGTGATGTGAGCATGAGAGCTACAGCACTGTGAAACCAACTAGTCTCTGCAATATGTCTGAAAGCAAGTGTATCTGTCTGCTTTGGACAGCCACATATGAAGACAGGGTATATAGTCCACCTTCCTCCTGGCTACATCCCATTTTGGCCACATGAATTCCCACTGTAAACAGTACTTCACCTGGACACTTCACTCTGTAATTGTTTATTTTCAGTTAATTAGGTAACATTTCTTTCAAGTGATTTTCACTAATTCCACATCATGTTGTCATATCAAAATGTTTTCTGCCTTCAAATGGTCAAATGTCAAAGTAATTTGTTAATTTACAAGTTAAAAAGGAGCATGTAAGGCACCATTCAGTTATGTCACTGAGTTTAGACCACATAATTTGAGAAGGAGACAGGTGTCTTCAAAGGATCCTGTCTTTCAACAGCAATACACAATACAGGGATATTTACTACACCTCTCACAAATTACAGTCAGGTGCACAAAATAGCCACTGCAATTTTTCACTATTGGGGCACATTTACCATCACTAATGTCCAAGAGCAGAGCTGCAGATGTATTAATTTGAATTCATGGTCACTTATTGCACACGTGGACTAACAGGGAAGACAGAAGAATGTGTAATTTTAGAGAGACTGACCTTTAATATGGTTGAAAAAAAACAACATACAAGTCACAAGAAAAAGTAGTGGCACTGGTTGCAATTTCCTGGTTTGGTCATGAAATGTGATTTGAGCTTCACCAAAGACACAAATATCAACAAAATATTTCTAAGCTGATAAAACACAAACAGTCATGATCTTGCACATCTTTATTGAACACATTCATTAAACATACAAAGTGATGGTGGAAAAAGTAATGGCAACATGAGGCTTCTGATGTCACTAAACATCAGCTGGAGTCAGGTGTCAGCAAACCTGGAGTCCAATCAATGAAACAAGAATGGAAGTGTGGTTTAGATCTGCCTTGATTTATAAAAACACTCAGTGTCAGCAGCATTACCTGATGTGAGCCATGGCTCATAAGCGATATCTCAGAAGACCTATGATCAAGAGCTGCAAATTTGCATGTAGCTGGAAAGGGTTTCAGAGTCATCTCAAAGACTTTAGCTATTTATCAGTCCACAGTTAGACATATTGTCTATAAATGGAGACGATTTGGTACTGTGGTTACTCTCCATATACTGTAAGTGGGCACCCAGCCAAGATCTCTCCACAATGCAGAATGCTCAGTGAGTTAAAACAGACCCCAAGAGTAACAACTAAAGACTTGAAAGATTCATTGGAGCTGGTGAACATCTCTGTTCATGAGTCAACCATATGCAAAATATTGAACAGACATTGTATCCATAGCAAGGCCACCACGGAGGAAACCATTGCTGTCCAAAAACAACATTGCAACATGCCCGAAGTTTGCCAAAGATCACCTTGACACCCCGCAACTTTACAGGGAAAATGTCCTGTGAACAGATGAAACAAAAGTAGAATTGTTTGTGATGAATACACAGCACTACATATGGCGTAAAAAAAGAAACACGTACGGTGGAAGGAGCATTATGATTTGGAGCTGCTTTGCTGCTTCTGGACTTGGAATGCTTGCCATTGTGGAGGGGAAAATGGATTCCCAAATTTATCAAAGTATCCTACAGGATAATGTCAGGGTGGCTGTCCACAAGCTGAAGCTCAGAACAAGCTGGGTGATGCAGCAGGACAATGATCCTAAACACTGAAGTAAATCTACTACAGAATGGCCTCGGGACATAAAATTCACCTTTTAGAGTGGCCCATTCAGAGTCCAGACCTCAACCCAATAGAGCCATTCACACCAGACATCCAAAGAATATGGCTAACCTGAAGCAGTTCTGTAAGGAAGAATGGTCCAATATTCCTCTTGAACTTTTGTAAAAGTCTAATCCACAGCTACAGGAAGTGCTTTCTTAAGGTTATTGCTGCCAAAGGTGGTTCAACCAGTTATTTAAACAGTGTTCCCATTACCTTTTTCACTATCACTGTGTATGTTTAATGGATGTGTTCAATAAAGACATTAAAGATCATGACTGTGTTTTATTAGCTTAGAAATATTGTGTTTGATTGGTGAAGAACACATCACATTTCATGGCCAATTTATGCAAACTGCCATTACTTTTTCTTGTGACTGTATTTTGGATCTGCAATCATGTAGTTCCTTGCCAGTTATCTTTTGTTTCATTCAGTAATTGAAGCATGGTTTGACTTGAAAGCCTGTTTCAAGTCCTTCTCCTCTGGCAAGCAATGGTTCGACTTCTGGTCTCCCCGCATGCCTAAGTGTCCCTGAGCAAGACACTGAACCCTGAATTGCTCCCAGTGGCTTGACTAGCACCATTGTGTGGCAGCCTGTTGTCATCGGTGTGTGAAAGTTGTGTGTGAATGGGTGAATGGTGTATCATCTCCTGTAAATCGCTTTGTCACTATATAAATGTAGTCCATTTTACCATTTACCAATGCAATTCCCAGACATCCTCTCCCTCCTCAAACATGTTCTTAACTCCAAAGAGATCTCAGATAATTAACAGCTGCATTGTTGAGAGCAGAGCTGCAAATTTTACACCTGAGACCAGACATGCAAATTTCTGTTTCGCATTTCGTCTTTCACCAATGCAAAACCCCACTGTGACTCCTTAGGAAATATGAATACACACAGTTTCACTGTTTAGCACCAGAACATGAGCCACAAAACCTTAGTAAAATATTCTGCTTAGTGTGCATGGATTTACTGTATATTGAATCTCTCACTCTGTTCTGCCCCTACAGGTGCTGGTGTCAGACGGTGGTCCAGGTCCGAGGCAGAGTACAGTGTGGGTGATGGTTCAGGTCCTGGATGAAAATGACAACAAGCCCATATTTCCTGAGAAGGTTTATCAGGTCAAACTCCAAGAGAGAGAGCGCAGGAAGAAGGGCGAGCCCATCTATCGGGTGTTTGCCTATGACCGTGATGATGGGCCCAACAGTGACCTCTCCTACAGCATTGTGGATGGCAATGAGGACGGGAAGTTCTTCATTGACCCTAAGACTGCAGTGGTATCATCGCGCAAGGCCTTCACTGCTGGGAGCTATGACATCCTGACCGTGCGCAAGTTCTCATCAAATATTTAACATATCTGCTAACAAGAACAACTTTGACCTAAATTCTCTTAGAGTACGTTCACAGTGCAGGTCTTAATGCTCAGATCAGATTTTTTTGCCAAATCCAATTTTTTTGCGCTGTTGTTCACACTGTCATTTAAATGCGACTGCCATCTGTCTCGTGTGAACGGTATACGGCCCTGAGGTGACCCGCATGCGCAGAAGAGGACGTGACGTCAGACGCAGCATATTGTGTTTGCGAAAATAAAAATGGATGCGGCTCGTGATAGCATGTGCGCAGGGATGTACCAGTTAATGTGCAATCAAAATAAAGAAATAATAATAATAAGAATATCAAGAAGAAGGGGAGCACAAATATTGCTTATGGCCTCGCCTCCTCCAGCGCAGAATTGTGACATCTGTCGCATTTCAATGACATAAAAATCACATGAAATGTGACAAGGCCGTTCAGACTGAAGTCGCATTGCAAAACATCGGATATGTATCCGATTTAGGACCACATATGAAAGTGGCCTGGGCCTGATTTGAAAAAAATCGGATTTGTGCTGTTCACACTGTCATAAGGAAATCAGATATGGGTCACATTTAGGCAAAACAATTGGATTTGGGCCACTTCAGCCTTCAGTCTTAGTCTTAGTCAGGGATTGATGTTGTGTTGGAGACTTATGTTTGGCATTAAAGCATCTCACTTCCGTTTAGCTTCCGGCGCCAACAGCGATGGCGGCCATGGTGGTTACTCGCACTCTCGTGTTTGTTGTTTTTCTTTGTTTTCTTGTTCTTTTGCAACTCATTCCAGATTACTTTTCACCAGAGAACAACAGTTAAGTATCGGACAACTCACACCAAACTACCTTCCTCCAATTTTTGTGAACAAAGAATGGTGTATGTATATTCTGATCGGAGGCGCAGTAGCGATATACGGGACCTGGAAAAAATGTCGAAGACGCAGAGAACGCGCTGGCACCTTTGTGCGATTACAACAGAGGGGAACATGGACCTCACTCCCATCTATTCACCTGGCTAATCCCTGCTCCCTGGTCATCAAAATGGATGAAATTCTTCTCGTTAACAGGACTAACTCGGACTTTGCTCGCCCTGCTGCTTTGTGCTTCACGGAGACCTGGCTCAGCGACTCCAGCGCGGACAGCGCGATTCACGTTCCGGGCTTCCAGGTGTACAGAGCATATCATGTAAAGGAGCTGTCCAGCAAAACGAAAGGAGGTGGAATCTGCTTCTACATAAATGAAGGTTGGTGCACAGATGTCACAGTGCTACAGAGGACATGTACCGCAGACCTACAGACTCTTGTTATCAACTGCAAACCCTTTTACTTTTCCCGTGAATTCAACAATTTAATGCTAATGGGAGTGTACATAACACCGCAGGCTAACGCTAGCACGCTACGGCTCCTAGCAGAACTGATAACTAGCCTGGAGCTAGAACATCCTAACTCTCCACTCATTGTTCTAGGGGACTTTAACAGAGCAAATCTCACCCACGAACTGCCCAAATACAGACAGCACGTTACCTGTCCCACTAGGGACAAAGTCACACTGGACCACTGCTACACAACAATAAAAAATGCCTATCACTCTGTCCCCCACGCAGCCCTCAGACTCTCAGATCACTGTATGGTCCATCTTATTCCAACCTACAGGCAGAAACTTAAAGATGCAAAGCCTCTAGTCAAAACAGTGAAGAGCTGGACTCAGGAGGCTAAGTCAGAGCTACAGGCCTGCTTTGACTGCACAGACAGGAGTGTATTTGAGACTGCAGCTACAGACCTGGATGAACTCACTGACACTGTGACATCTTATATCAGCTTCTGTGAGGATGTGTGTGTGCCCAAAAAGACCTTCTGCACATACAACAACAACAACAAGCCCTGGTTTACAGCCAGTAGGGACAGGACTCTGTATGACCAGAAACACACTGACAAGGGAGATCAGAGCAGCAAAGAGGAGCTACTCTGAAAAGCTGAAAGCTCAGGTTTCAGCCAATGTCCCCTCATCTGTGTGGGGGAGCCTGAAAAGCATCACC